AATGGAAACAAGTTTACAATGTGTCTCAATGATTGGGTTATGATTTTCCTATTTAATTCACTGAAAAATATTATTTGGGTATGAGAAATATAAACAGCTATCAAGCATCAGGTCAAGCTTTTCCAAAACATTATAGATTAAAATTCTGCTTTTGTGGAAATATATTAAAGCATAAATTACTAGGAACAAAATCTCCCTAGCACACTAACATAATCAAACTTGAGTATTATTATCATGTTGGCTTTAGCCAAATCCTAGCAGGTAGCTAGTTTATTCAAGCTACTCTAAAAATGAAAAAGAAATATGCATATCCTGACTTTGCAAGAAGCTGCCTTTTAGCATCTTACTAGCCATTTTTCCTCTTTTAAGACGTTTTGGATCCAAGGACCAATAGGTTGACTCATTCACCAGTGGAGAAATCAAAGAAAGAAAAAATTTAAAACTAAACAACAGATTTGACAAGATGCCTGTCATCTGAAAGTGAGAAAGAATCTGGTATTAAATGAGCATCTTTTGTGCAAGATACAGGCTGTACATATGCTTTTCTTCAAAACAGCCCTTCAAGAAAAGGGTAATTATCTCCATTTTATAGATATGAACATTGAGACTCAGAGAGATTTTAAATTACTCAGAGTAATTTACTTAAATAACACAGTTAGGAAACAGCACAGAGAGAACTGAGACCCAGCATTAATCAACTCTAAAATCCAAGCTCTTTCTAATCTACATGTCGTCTGTCTTTCTATGACTGCTCCTGGCCTGGCCACCTCCTTTGTTTCTTTGTCTATACCAGTATCATTCAATCTTCTGTTTCCTGACTGGTAGCTTTCCGGCGCCAGAAGCAACAGACACCATGGCAGGGAAGAATGTCCTTCCCAGATAGAAGGTGGCAAGTATAGAGAAAGCACGGAGATAAATGCTCTTCTGCTTCACTGTTTTTGTTTATTTATTCTCTGCTATATTTCACCAAAGCTTTGAGATTGTCAATGTAAAATGTAAGATATCACAGGAAACTAATAAATGAATCTGGTACTGTTCTATAAGTGGAAATACAATTAACTAGGAATTAGGATAGCTGAGATTTAATTTCTGCTCCGCCACAAATACACTATGACTGTGGGCAAGTCCTTTTCTTTCTCTAAGTTTCCATTTCCTCATCTGCAAATTGAAGTGACTGCATTTGATCAAGTGTAATGCTCCCTCCGGTTCTCTTACTCTACAGTTTTAATTCTACCAATATACTTCAGAGGCAAGTAAAGTGTGATAATTGTGTCCACTGTAGCCCATTTTGTTTGACACCTGATGAGGTCAAGCACTTTTCTCAAGTGATTCCCAGATGAGGAAGTGAATAGCAGCTCAGGACACATGTGTACAGATGTGTAATCTGCCTTTTTGTGAGCAGCTGTGATCAGTAGGTAATCAATCTACTGGCTTACATTAATACCTATGCAGGAAAGCATTCCAACCAATGCTTTTGCTGAGTCACCATTCAAAAATTAAGAAGATCAGAGAGTTACAGAACATACTTTACATATGTCCCTTCATTAAGAAGGCCCACCCTGCCTTGGCTGTCTTCTTGCCAGCTGCCCTTAGCTTAGCTCTGAGGAGACTTAGAAGCAGCCTAATTAAAATTCTGCCATGTATTGTCATGACTACAATACTCTCTCTCTTAGAGATGTCAAAACAACAAAATTTGGTAAGCAATTGGCCTATAGTTTGATCGAATTGCACTGGTATTTAGACAGGGGTGAAGATGGCTGGTGCTCTTTTTGTGGAAAGCTACAACCCAAGGCGGTAACTTAGATTTCTGCTGGCAGGACACTGACAATTCACGCACAGAAGTTATGTTGAAATGATGGAGCAGAACAGCTCCTAAGGTGCCGTTACAGTCTATTGTACCTACAATGTATATATTTAACAGATCCTAAATACCCCGTGACACAGCCAACCAGAACAACTCCATTGGTGCCGTTCTGGCCAATCAAGTCAACAATGTTTCCTTTTAAAGTGCCAAAATAGGGATTTACTCAATACAGTGAGACACATCATGAGTAAACATGTAGTCATATGGACATAATCTATGATTCTATATGTACTATAAAGACATAAGCATCCCTATACCTGTTAATAAATGTTGGCTCACATTTATGATATATACAAAGCCTGTCTTGTGTACATCTTATATTACTAAATGTAACAAGCTACAGTGGACACTGATGTGTGACCCAGATCCCCCTTCAGGACTGCAAGATTTACTCCCTCAGCTGCTGGAATTGCTGTTGGTAGCTAGCTTTTAGCTATTGGTCCTCGCACTGCCTTAGCTGAAGAGAGTCACCTCACTCAAAGTCATTTCCTCTTCCCACTCGAAGTCATGTCCTCATCCAATGACTCATTGATGATACAAGTGTATAAAAGCTCACACTCTCACCCCAACTTAGGGCAATTCTGAGTGACCATGGGAATCTGGAAGCTTCCAATGAGGTTGCTAGAAGCCCTAGTTGAGACTGTACCAGAGCACAACCTCTCCTTCTGACCAGTCCTGGGTTTTAAAGAAAATTAATTAACTTGTTCATTTTTTAGAGATGGGATTTCACATGCTGTCCAGGCTTTTGTCTTCTCCCTTCCCTTAGCAATCCTAAGAGTGCTCCCTAATAAACCTGCATGCTGATCTCCATCTCATAAGCTATTTCCCAGGACACCCAAATCTATGCCACATTCCTCTGGAAAGAGTGTCCAAATAAGAGAGAGAAGAAGAATGCTTCATAAATTATAATGTTTTATGACAACATCACAAAAAATTATCTATAACTGTATTAGGGGCTACAAAGAACAAATCAATAAATCAAATGGATGTTTCTTATATTTAAGGAAACACATAATTTCAACATGAGTAATTTTGAAGAGTTAAACTGAATTTGTCACAATTCATTTTCCAGTTTAATTGCACATTATATATTAATCTTAAGCCTCTTTGGCCCAGAAGAAAATATGATGCTCAGAAAAAAATGTAGTGCCCTATGTAATCCCATAAAATTAAGACAGATATTTTGATTATAAGAAAGCCAAAGATACCATCACAAGAAACTGTTAGTGCTGTCCTTCATATTCTTCTGACTTTAACTAAATCTATCAGCAATCACAGAAACTGATTCTAGATGCTAAACAAAGCCTGCAAGAATCACAAAATATATCTGCAAAACAGTGACATTATGCAAGAGGGAGAGCTCATGAATACAACATCCCTATTAATAAACTTTTCCAGTGTCCAAAATTCAACCTCAGGAAGGTTGTCTACTGGGAAAGCTACTCCCTTCAACTTGGAAACCAGGGTTTCCTGGTTCTGTAGAAACAACTTTGCAGCCTACCTTCTGGGACTCAGTTATATTCAGTGTGATATGTTTTAGGTCAAGTATAAATTAATCTTATCTCTCTTTCTCTCTCTCTCTCTCTCTCTCTCTCTCTCTCTCTCTCTCTATCTCTCTATCATCTATCTATCTTAACCTCATCTCTCATCCCTCTCCCATGTGTTCCAAAGCAAAATTAAGTTTTATCCTTTCATACTTCAGACTTTTTCCTTCCAAGTGAATTTTAAAAGTCAATAAGAAATACTTAAAATTAATCTGTAGAATTTGAAGTTAATAGTATCTAAGTTTGAACTTTAACAGATAATACAAATTCAACAATATAGGGTGCTATGGAGATAATTTTTGTGTCCCCTCAAAATCCATATCTTGAATCCCCAATCTCCAATGTGATGGTAACTAGAGGTGGCTCTTTGGGAAGTAATTAGGTTTAGATGAGGTTATGAGGGTAGAGCCCCATAATCAGACTAGTGCCCTTCTATCAGATAATCAGAATTTTTTACCCAGCCTACTAATAGCCTCTCAACCAGTCTCCCTGTTTCCATTCTTAACCTCCTATAATCCAATCTTACATAGTAGGCAGAATGATCCTTTTATATGTAAATCAGATCATGTCAATGTCCTGGACAAAATCAGTCTAGGGGTTCCCATTGCACTCAGAATAAAATGAAAGGCCTTTCCAGGGTCTATCAGGTGTAATAAGCTCGGCCCAGTCTATCATTTTCACTTTATGTTCCCCTGCTGTCCTGACTCTTACCATTCTTGTCACAGTGGCCTCCTTGGTGCAGGTCTGATCCTCTAAGTGCCTCCACATTCATCACTCCCAGTGCCTGGAATGCCTGTGCTCCTGCCTTTCACTATGGCCTGGACTGTTGCTTAATTCAGATGTCAATGTCCCTTTCTCAGACAAGCCTTATCACCCCATCTAACATACCAACCCTATAACACCCTATTGCTTTAACTTGCTTCTATTTTTTCTCATGGCATTTATTGACTTCCTGCAGCTACATTTTCTATTTAATTGTTTATTTCTTCATTGTCTGTGTTCTCCTATTAGAATGTGAGCTCTAGGAGAACAGGTACTTTTGTCACATTTTCTCACTGCTGTATCTCCAGTGCAATAAGCAGAATAAGCAATAAATAATTTACTGGATCAAAAACCAAATGAATGCATTTTGCAAACTGTGTTTTTTTGTTTTTTTTTTTTTTTGCCCTGGTTGACAGGAAGCTTAGTATTACATTTAATGATGAGTCATGGTAACATATTAGTCTTCATTGTAAGCATGTATGTGTCTTCCATTTTTAATATTCTGGTACTCTATTCTTATTCTAACAACATCATATATCTCCTTTATTTTATGATACATCTATTTCAGAATGTGACAGAAAAACACACCAACAGGCAGGTAGGTTGGGTCCCTGGGAGGCAACTTACACTGGGTGAGAAAGGGCATATTTGTTAATCAGCAATAATGCTTACAGGTGCTACAATGATAGATTTTAGTAAAGTGCAAGACAGCTCTCAAGCTGGAAGCCCAAATCTATGGCCGGAGGTTGATACTTGGGAGCCTGGAAAGAACCAGGTAAGAGTGGGCCAATGAGTCTAGCAGGTCCAGTGGCACAGGGAGGCAGTTTTACCTTTTCATTCCTGCAGTTGTTCAGCCCCATATTATTTATGGAGGACAGTTTCCCATCAACACCGTGTGGCTGTTGCTGCTGGTGCTCCCGCTGGATCTGCTCTCGCATCTTCCGTGCCTCCTGGATGGCTTTCATCACTGTATCCTGATCCCCAAACAGGGCAGGGGAGTTGAGACTAGACAGGATATCTGCATATACAGGACGCATTATTAGAGGCTTGCAAGATCAGACTCCTAAAAAGCGTTACTACTATCCCCTCCCCTGTAGAAAACTGCATTCTCGGAACAAGGAAGGGGCACACGTTTGCCATTTTTTAAAGTATACAGTAATATACATAGAGCACAGAGCCAGGGCAACCAAGATGTGCTGGGTTCTTTTAGCCCTGGAGAAAACACCAGCACTCCAGTCTACCTGGGTTCTGTCTACCCACCTCCTTGCAGACTAAGGTTCCTAGACTCAAATCGTATATATATTGGAAGAAGAGATCTGCTCTGCCTGTATGTACAATTGGTGCACAATGTTGTCTCTTCTGTGGGGGAATTATGGGGAGGAAGGGGGTGAGGAGTGGCGAGGAGGCAGAGATGTTTGTCCAGGCTACCCATTATAGTTGCTGTGCTACTACAAGAAAGTTGTTTCTGGCCTGTAGAAAAAAAATCTGTGAGGCCATATGTGTATTTTAGTGATATCTGTATCTGTGTGTTCACATGTCCACTGCAGGAGAGAGGGGGTGGAAGGAATACACCATACTCTCCATTCCTCCAATTGCTGGCTGGTTAATGAGGCATTCTTCTCATCATGCTGCCTCAGTTATTTACCAAGAGAATGACAATCCATTCCCCACCCCCAGCTCAAACACCCACTACAATCAGCTCCCTATCTTCCTGACATTGAGGGGATATGTGTGGGACTGGTTTTCACATAACTACAAAGTTTCAGAAAAAGTGAGAATAAATATTTACTTCTAGTGTATTCTATGCAATACAGGGAAAAATTTCAAAATTAAACTGACTTTTTTCCCACTTATATCTTGCATTTTACTGTAGGTAAAATGAATACTTTGAATAAGTTTTTCCAGTTTTAGACAAAAAGAAGGCAATTGTTTGATGATAGATAGGCTTCATCTGCTGTGGTAAATGTTAGTGTGATCCACTTGCTTAAGGCCTTGTATAAGCATTTCATAGCAGGTGTGTGTGTGTGTGTGTGTGTGTGTGTGTGTGTGTACACCTCACATAGGCAGTACAGAAGAAATGAGAATAGAATCAAGCTCACACTGTATGTCTGCTATGTACAATGCATGTGCATATGCATTTGTGTTTGCAAAAAATTCCGAAGCTATCTATGGAATTTTTTGAAGTCAGTCACTTTTTAGTCCCACAGCTTTTGTTCTGGAGTTTTCTGGCAAAAAGACCATTTTTATCCAATATTTTCTGGACAAGAATGCTGTTCAAACATAGGTGCTAGTACTTCAGACCATTTCTAAGCAATATGCTCTGCTGAGTAGAGTTCCATAAAAGCAGGGCTTGTGACGTAGTCATCTCTGTCCCTCATGATACTCAGGACAGCAAACAAATGATTTCAGAGTGAATTCTAGGAGGGCCATTTCAAGCTGAAATCTATAATTTATCTTCTTGTTGGCTGTTTTCCCTCACCTCACAACTTCCAAAAATCCAGCCAAGGGGCATTCATATTCACATGCTGGAAATGATATAATTCTGTCTTCTATGTGGATACCACTAACTTTGCATGAAAATTTTCAGGTCCCAAAAAAGGCATCCTTACTCAAAATGAGAATATGCTGTTGTAGAGATCCTATAACCCAAATTTCACTGAGAAAGATTTACATCTCACTATCAGAAGATTCACTTAGACTCAGCACAATTCAGCAAATATTTTAACTGTGAGTTTACAAAAAGAACACTGAGTAACATGTGAGAGGACCTGGATTCTAATCCTGTTTCTGCTAAGTAATAGCTGCAGGAGTATGGGCAAGTCGTTCTACCTGTAAGAACCACAATGTATGTATTTGTACAATGAGGGTAATAATATCCTACACAATTCATAAGACTGTGAAACATCAAATGAGATAAAATAGGCAATAGTGTTTTTTAAGCTGTTAATGGCTATTCTTATACATTATTTTATCTATTGTAATAAGCATTTTAGAATTCAGGACTTGATAATATAAGAAAGGTGATCTAATGAAGAAATGCTTTGTCTTTATGCTAACCCTTTAAAATCTGTGTCTGCTTAGAAATTAAGAGATTTAATTTCCTGAGAGCATAAGTATAACAAATTAAGATCCTTAATTTGACTTAAAGAGTACAGTAACAATAATGTTAATGCTTATTTGGCACTCTTACTGACAACCGCTTTCACACTTATTGTTTCATTCCACTTTATATATGCACATGTATTGATAATCATTCATTCCAATTCTTTAAAATTGAATGCCTCTAGGTTCTAAACTGTACTAGACACTTTATATGCATTTTTCTCTTTTAATTCTCACAATAACCGATGAGATATAGTAACCTATAGGAATACTATCACCCTTAGAGATTAGGAAATTGAACTTTAAATAACTTTCTTGGGGTCACATAGCTAGTAAATGAAGGCTTTCTGTCCAAGCTTGCCTCATTCCAAAACCCATGTGTTTTCCTACATACTTTTCACATAGGGATACAAATATTCCTAGAGATACTTGGCAATATATGGGGGAGTATAAGAAGCCAGACATTATGATATATCTTCCTACATATCAATAGTATTTCATATATGTTCTGGAGTTGTGTCATTCATATTTGTTTTAATGCAAAAGTAATATGGGATTAAGATGTAAAGTTCACATACACTTTGATAGAAAATAAAAATGTCAAATAAATTTTTGCCTTTTGAAAGCCTGCTTTGAAGTCAGGTCCTACGTCTCTGAAAAATTATTTCAGTGGCAATGTGCTGACCAAATATAGAAATTCCTGTCTATGATTTACTGGATCTAACTCATTATCATCTAAAGAATCCATCCCAGCAGGATTTATATTATGATCTTTTCCAAAAGTTCTAATATAACAACATACTAAATTGGCTTATATTTCAGTAGAGAAGATAAAAGTATTATCTTTTACTAAGGAACACTTTGGAAACAAATATCAGTGGTAACTAAACAGGTTTGCTTTCTTTTACCTAATTCGTAAGTCTCTTCCTGGTGTTGACTTTTCCATTTACCTAAAGAGGATCCTCTTCCCAGGCTTCCTCCAATGGGGCTAGGGATGCTGCTTTTGTTTGGCAGGTTGACAGGGCTGGTTTTGCTGGCTGGGAACAGGTTCTGGGTGGGAGACGTTGGGGACTTTACAGGCTCTGCTGTCTTGGGTCGGGATGAGAGATTCAGAGGCTGTGCTGCTGCTTCATCCTGCAAGAGTTTAACATAAATAATTATTTTTAAAAAAGACAAGTGAAGCACATTATCACTTAGTAAGCCACAGTTATTTTACACCTCAGAGACAATGCCGCATTCTCCTACAGTAATAACAAAAGAAGCTAATTATCTACCTCCTTGAAGATTCATCGGAAGGAAACCTCATTAATTTCTCTGTGTTATGCTTCTATTTACATTAACTGTGTAGTTGGATCATTCTTTTTGCCAAATTAAAATCTGAATTAGCTCACATTACAGCTTAATTTCCTAATGTGTTTTCAGGGATCTAAATTAACCTAGGGCATTTACAAAGAATTATTTAAAATTTCAGCAGCTCTGTAGTGCTTTTGTGTTACTCTCTCTGAAAAGTTCTTAAGCTATAAATAGTCTCTGCAGCTAATGTTTTTAGTACATATTTTAAATCAAACAATTGCAAGCACTTTAAAAATGGAAACATGGAAAGCCTTCTTCTGATCTACTAGGCTCCTGCTCAGGGAGCCACATGCCACAACACAGCTTCTATGTGGCTTTCTGGGTGTGGGCACTCTTCATGGTCTATATTCTGGTCTCTATTCATGTTTAAAATTAATTTTTGCAAAGACCAAGGATAGATTATAATTATGTTTTATATACTAAGCTATATGCAATTTATTTTTCATGTTTAAAGTTATGTTTCTTTATAGGCTTTTTTACATATATTTACAGAATGTCTATTTTAAGACATGTCCTTCTACACCGAGACAGTTTTCAAATATCTGGCTTGTAACTGTAGTTCATCCAGGATCTTGAAAGCTAAGCTCATTCCTTTATTTTGTCTCATTTGTCCTGCCATAAAATACTTGAAACAACACTTTCATCATCCTGGAAATTTTGTTGTAATATGAGCATATTCATTTAAATGTTCAGTGTTAAGATCTGTATTATTGTATTCTAAAATAAAATGGTCAGCAAATGTTAACTCCCATTTTGCTTCTGCAAAGACAAAGAGAAGTAGATTTTAATACCATTGTTTAAAAGACCCAATAGAGTTTGGTAACAGACATTTTCCCCTTTAGTAACCAAGTGACCTTCCTGGGGCTCGATTTCTTCATCTGTGAAAAGAGAGTCTGATGCTAGGTGATCTCTAATGTCTCTTCTAGTACTAATATCATTGATTAAAGGGGAACAAAAAGAGAGGCCAGAAAATAGTACTTGAGAAGGAGGATTAGAAAGGGAAAATAAAAATAGCATGTACAAAGAAGCAATTATATGCCAAGCACTGTACTAAGCATTTTCACATGCTAGCTCATTTAACTATCAATAACTGTATGAGGCTGGCCAGTATTATTCTAAATTTACAAATGAGAAAATGGAGGTCAGCATGAAAATGTAAATTCTAATTTATTGGGCTCCAAATTCCAGGCCCCTTTTCTACTGAACTACCACAGAAAATAAGTCAATTGTTTGATAATATAGTGATGGCCCAGATTTGTGTGTGTGTGTGTGTTCATAAGGAAAAGGCAATCTGTCACATATGTTGCAATATATCTTTATGTATATTTATATATGGGACAGGTTCTCAAGCAACATGGGTACACCATTATGAATGTCAAAATTATCTTATGTACTTAATTGCATTTTACTTCCCTTTGCTCTTAATTCAAAGGATGTTTAAACTAGTTTGTTCCTTTACTCACATCTAAATAATAGGGATTTCTATGCTAAGTATTTAGTTTTCTCCATGTTTCTTTTATCTGGGGCTCACTGAGCTTCTAAAAAATCTAAATTTAAAGTTTTGATTACATTTGAAACATGTTCAGTCATTATTTCTTCAAATACAATTTTCTGTTTCTCTCTCTTCTTTCTGGGCCTCCAATTGCATACATTAGTCTATTTGATTTTGTCCCACAGATTTTGTCTTTTTTCTATGCCTTTCATTATGGATAGTTTCATTGTTATGTCTTTAAGTTCACTATCTTTTCTTCGGCAATGTCTAAGCTGTTGCTAAACCCTGTCTAAGCTGTTGCTAAACCCACCTAGTATATATGTTTTAATCTCAATGTATTTTTCATCTCTAGACATTTGATTTAGGTTTTTCCATGTTTTGCTTTATCATGCTCATGTTTTCCTCTATCTTCTTGAACATATGGAGTTTATTACAGCTTTTTCAACTTTGAAATACTCTAATTTTTTACTTAGTTTTATAATTAAATAATCGCCACTTTAACCAATAATACCACTGGGCATGGCTAGCACCTACCAATGCCCAATTAAGTGAATCCCTTTCCACCACGGTAGAACTGTTGGTCCTCACAGTCTGTCTTGGCCTGACAACTTTGTGCTAACCAAGCCTGGGAGTAGGGGAAATAAGAATAGCTCTAGACAGACTCCCACAATTCCTACCTATAAGAGGCATAAATGTTTTCTCAGATTGTATATAACTTTTGTCAATTTTAAGAAGCCTAAATGATTGTTTTTGTCAGTGTTTTCCAGCTTTATAGGTGCTTTTTTAGGAAAGCAGATTTGCTTATCTCATCTGGCTCTAGTTGGAAGTCTCTTATAATAGCTGTTTTTCCTGTCTTATCTATTAACATCTGTGCCATTTTGGGGTCTGTTTCTTTTGATTAATTTTTCCCATTATTCATATTTTTTTCCTGCTTTGCAAGCCTGATAATTATTGGATGGATGCTATACATTGTGAATTTTACCTTCTGGGGTGATGAAGTTTCTGTTTAAATATTTGAAAACTTTGTTCTGAGACACAGAACAATTTGATCCTTCCTAGGCTTACTTCTAGGTGTTGTTAAGCAAGGTCAGAACAGTCACTAAGTAGGGGTAATTTGTCCCCGCTACTGAGGTAATACCCTTCTGGTGACTCTACCTGATGCCCCATAGGTCAGGAGATCTTTCCATTCTAGCTAACTATTCCTGGCCCTTTATGAACCTTGCAATCGATTTGTTTGCTATATTCTGGTGTTGCCCCTTATCTTTGGTAGTTTCTCACATGCATATGCTGATCAGTACTCAGCTAAATACTCAGGGGAAGCCTTTTGCAGATCTTCAGCACTCTTTCTCCATGAAGCTTGCTCCTTTCTGGTACCCTGTCTCACAAATTTCATCTGCATTAGCATCCCTAAATTCTAAACTCTGTCTCTCTACTCAGGGAGCCTGTAAAACTTCCTTCATAATTGCCTGGAAACTTCCTCCTGATAGTCAGCTGCAACAATTGTAGTGCTTGCCTTACTTGTTTCTCTTCTCATAGGAAGCACTGTCCTGTACTCCTACTGTAAATGTCTGAAAACCATTGTTTTATATAATTTTGTCTTAAGTTTTAGTTGTTTAACTGGAAGAGTAAATATGATTTTGTTCCTTCATCAGGGTTTACCATGGAATTCCTCTAGGTGTTTATTTAGGATCTCTCTCAGTCTACAACTAGATATTTTAATCGCAACCACTAAAATCACCACACTATCTTCTTTATTACCATAATGAGCAGCAGCAGCATCACGACCACTAACATTGACAGAATACTCACTATATACTAGAGGATATATTTAAGACCTATAATGATATTAACTGCCTTTTTTTTTTTTCCAGAGGCAAAAACTAAAGTAGAAAGACATTAAGTATCTTGGGCAAGCTGATACAGTGAGTAAAAGTGGTAGAACCAGTATCTTTAACAGAAACATTCTGACATCTGATGTTGACAGTCACAGTAGACAAATATTCTAGGGGAAAAAAGGTACATCAGATCATCTATATTATTTTTGTTACTTTCAGCAAATGTTGCCTATGTTCTGTCTGAATTTAAAACAAGTAGTCATGTTATATACAGAAGAAAAGCAATGACTATAAAGAGAAGCATGGGAGATTTTGGTAACCATAGTTCCTTCAATTAGCAAATGATAAGATTATTTTCAGAACATCTTCAGTAATAGATAGGAATTATATTTTAAATTTAAAAGACTTGATTTATGTTTTGTTCTATATATTTTTACTCATATGTAAAATAAAATATCTAGTAAGTAAAAAGAAACATTTCCTTTGTTATTAACATAGAATATGGTCAAGTCAAATTACCCAGAGAGCTCCCTAGGAATTTGCATGTGGTCAAATGAGTAATAAAATTCAGCTGGCCCACAAAGAGGGAGCGGTAAAAGCAGATATAAATTTGAATTTAACCAAGGAACATTTTACTCATCCAGTAAAGACTTGGTTTGGTGCAGTTCCAGTTGGTAAACTTACTTATAAAATGACTTCTTTATGTTAAAATATTTAATACTCAATAGCTCAAGTCACTGATGTTTGATACTTCAACAACCACGAATAAGCAAAGTGCCTTGGTTTGAGTTGGAGTGTTCTGACTTATTCACAAACACAAACTCTGGGAACATAAAATACTCTGTTTCCATACGTGATTCTGTCTTATTACATGTAAACTTCCTATTGTAATATCTCAATATTTCAAACAACAGACCATAAATGTTCACCTGTTTCTTTAAAGAATCTAAAGAATAGGTGGCATTAAATTAATTCCTTTGGATAGAACACAGACAGAACTATCTCTCTTAATGATTTTCACTTTTCTTGATCTTTGGTATTTGGGATCCACTTTTACTTTCTGGAATCTCAATATTACTATATGCAAATTTTAGAAAACAACAATTTCAGTGACTGTATAGCATCTGACGCTTAGTTTTGTTGGTTTCAGCTGTTTCCCTTGTGAAGATTTAATAATTGCAAAATTTCTTCAAATGCAGTACTTTTATCACATTACAATAAAGCATTTGTACTTAGCATACTCCTCCAAGTAGATAAGTCAATTATACAAAACAATTGTTTCTCTGTTTGAATTTGATAATTCAATATAGAAAGTAACTGCAATCATAAAACCAACAAGCACCACCTATGGGTACCAGCTGCAGCACAAAATTGCAGTGGCTCATCAATTTCCCTCTGTCGCCAAGTGCCTCCTGGCTGCACAGTTTCAAGACACCGAAAATTAGTGAGAAAAGACATTTATTAATGTCCCAGGCATAATTTGCGAAAGCCTGTTTATCCTAACACAACTATATGGCAGCAAAAGCATTATTAGGCAATGACAACTCATTCCCTAAAGGCCAAATTTATAACTAGTTTTGAAGGAGAGATCTTCATCAACAAACCATACAGAGTCCAGCATCAAATTCCATTTTGTACTTCTTTTTAAACCTAAGGTTTCAAGATCCCAATTGTCTGGTCCTATAAGTTAATTCCCTCCCTGTTTAAGAAACATGGAGAGAAGTACCACAAGTACATGACAAAGACTGGCAATAAAATTATGGCCATTCATGCCAATGAACATTAAAAAATAAAAGCCAGAATCCAAAAGGGGAAAACTCTTGAGAAGTGAGTTTGCAGATTGAGGTAAAGATCTCACAATATGGCACTATTGTTATCAAAAGGGAAACACCTGTTTCTCAATGCTCAATCATGAAATTTACCATAAAGAGGGACATTTTGGGGTTGCTTTATGTTGCTATGTTTCCTGCTGTTTATGCGCAACATAGCCTGCTTTGCTACCTTTCTTGTGAAACTGTTTTTCTGAGCTGTTTCCACAATCCTGCAAGGCGAGTACCTTAACTTGAGTTACAGGGCTGGTCCCTCTCTTTTCATTTTTTATCCCAGTAGGTGAGACCGTCCCTGCTGTGTTTGGTGGCTGTGGAGTTGATGGCATCTTTGCTCCAGGTGACACCTGCATGCTGGCCAGCTGAGCGGCATAGAGCTGCTGCAAAACAGGGAAGACAAACATTGATCTCTTTAAATGCAGCTGAAATTGAGTTTCAAAAAAAGACTTACCATATTGTTAGATTTCTCAGACAGTCTTGTAATTTCTTTCTCACTATTTTTAAAAAAGGAAACTAAGAGAAGGAAAATAATATAACAGAAAGAAAGAAAACTGGTAAGGGAGCCACAGTTCTGTTCCTGGTCCTTCTAGCAACAACTTTATGACCCTGGACAAAGAATTTGATTTCTTTAGAATTCAGGGTCTGTTGTTTATTTTTTTAAATTGTACAAAAAGGAATTTGAGTAAGTAGTCTCTAAGATGCTTTTTAATGCTTAAAATCTTTAATAAAAGTTATTTAAATGTCTGGGATGTCCACTCATGTAATATCAATATTCATGAATTACAAAACTAACCTGAACATTTTTAAGGATTCTTAGAAGAACTGCATCATTATTATTCGGCACTGACTATGCCTCTCTTGGTATTCTGATCCTTCTGAATGATAAGTGCTGTCCTCAAAGCCACTAAGGTCCAATGGCAGTCATTGTTTACCCAGGGTCTTACTACTAGGCAGCATATAACATAATCCTCAAGAGAATATGGCCAGATTGGTAGCATTTTTTTTTTAAGTCAAGCTTCTCTGAACCCAAACCAGCTAACAAAGTGCTTCCTTCATGCTTCCAAACAGATCACCACACTTCTCTTCTCAGGTTCTGCCTTTGCCTGGAACTCGACATTTATCTTCATCATATTATCACTGCTGTTTCAAGGTCTTTTCTCAAGTATTTTCTACAGTTCTCTTTGGCAAACCAATGATCTTATTACTCATCAGCTTATTACTTATTACTTATCAGCTTAAAATGGTTCCTCTTCTCTGAGACATGATAAGCAGACACCCTGATGTTATGAATCTTTAAATTATCAATCTGAAAATATGTTGATTTCACTAAATTAAGGCCAAAAATGGAAAGACAGGTGGGCTAACCTCTTTTCATATAATTTTCATTTTTATTAAAGTCATTCTTATATATAGCTTTACAAGTTAAATAGTACTTTAAGGTTTAAAAAAACAAAAACACCAAAACAATAACAACGAAAAGAGCATGACCAAAATGTACAGTGCACAGCTTCCACAGCCAAGCATGATGACCTTCATTTCCTTACCCTGGTCTTCCTTATCTCACCTCCTGTTCTGTGGAGTCCATTCCCTTCAATTCATTTAATGGTTTAACTGGTATTTTTTGCCTTATTTGTAAGTGCTTATAAATGTTACATTCTTATCTACATATAAAGGAAAATGAAAGGTTCACTTTCATACACTGAACGCCACATGTGCTCCAATGCTTCACTCTCCAATCTCTTAATGTTAATATCACAAATTTTAAAATTAGTGTTTACTGTTTTATTTTATGAAGATACTAGCTCTGTAGTAAACTATACTTAATTTTCTCTTTCTTAACTTTTAATTTTGTTAGATTTAATATTTACCTCACATTTTGTTTTCATAATTTTTATGTAACTATCACTAATTCTCAAACTCACTGAAATCAGCAAACTCTACGCAGTGTAATTGAATATATCAGGTAATCTGTGAATCCTGTTTTCCCTTGGAGACATCCTTCCTGGAATTCTCAATCTTCTTGCTCCAATCTGAACTAATTTATTCCTCAGGCCTACCTACTGCAGATCTATGGCACTTGGAATTCCTTTTGCCTCTCCTGTACTGATGTTCTTGTTTCCTGGGTATCAAGTTTTCTTCCCTTTTAGTTAACTGCCCTTGTTTCCTGGGTATCATGTTTTCTTCCCTTTTAGTTATATGTAGGTAAGAATGTAACATTTATAAGCAATTACAAATAAGGCAAAAAAATACCAGTTAAACCGTTAAATGAATTGAAGGGAATGGACTCCACAGAACAGGTGAGATAAGGAAGACCAGGGTAAGGAAATGAAAGTCATCGTGCCTGCCTGCGGAGGCTGTGCACTGTACATTTTGGTCATGCTCTTATTTTGGTAGAGCATATGCTCCAAGCACTTCCTGAGAAAGGTGAATGTGAGATTAATTATTTAGGAATTAACATTTCTGGAAAATGTTATTATATTCTTCTCACCTGACTGTAGATTGACTGTACAGAATTCTAAGTTGAAAATAATTCTGCCTCAGAATTCCAAAGATATTGATCTGCTGTATTCCTATTCTTCTTACTAAGGAAGCCTGACATTATTTTGATTCCTGATCCTTTATATGCAATCTATTTTCTCCTCTGAAAGCATCAGGATCTTCCCTTTCCACAGAATGTTTTGAAATTTCACTATTATAGCCTTCTGTTGACTTTTATATTCATTGTCCTGAACACCCAGTCAGGCTTTTCAATCCAAACTCACGTCTTTCAATTCTAGGAAACTTTTTTTTTGCCAAACCTTTTATTAATATTATTATTATTTTTTTATTGCATTTTAGGTTTGGGGGTACATGTGTATCAACTCTCTTTTTTTCTTATTTTTCCTTCTGTTTGTTACTCTGACCTTTTGTTACACTCTATGACAGATTTTTTCACAACTTCATCTTCCAAAACTTCTCTAAATGTTTTAAAGTTTCTGCCATTATATTTTAAAGGTACTCTTATTTTCTGATTGCTTCTTTTCATAGCATCCTGTTCTCTATTCTGTTTGACAATATTAATGTTTTCTACATTGTTGCCACTCTTTTCTTCCAATGTCTTTGAGTTTTTCTATTAGGGGCTTTTCTAAAGTGTCTGGTGTTCGCTGACTGTTTATTCATATATAAGAGCAATGTACTCAAAAGCTGACCAGAAGGTCTAAGTATGGGGTAGACTTACTGATTGATGGGCTTCAGCATAAGGTAATGACACAGAAAGTCTGCTTTTTCATTGGGGAATCCCAAATGTCTTAGACTAGACCATTTTTTAGAGAAGTGTCTTCAAATTCTTGCCTTGATTTGTGTATAGACTTGCATGCCATCATTACATGAGCCAAGCAAGAGAAGGATCTCACAGTCTGGTCTATCCTACAGACACCCTGGTTTTCACCATGGCACCATCACTCATTCTCAGCTATGCCTGATGTCCCAAGACATAAACCTCTCAAGTTCAACTTCTCAAGAGAATAAATCTCCAGCTGCTTCTGCCAGGTTATGTGCTCATGGGGCTGGGAGGGAGAAGGCAGGGATGGTAGTTACCAGGTTGCATGAGGTTAAGGAGGGATCATCTTATATCTATTTTCAACCAGTCATCCTGTTGACAGTTCCACCTCTTACAACTGTTCCTTTAATGATACACGATGCCTTCAATTCCTAAGCATTTTAAAGGTTCAGTTCGCAATTGGGCTTGATTCTTTTTGGCTTTACACTCCTAAAGCTTGGGTATCAGCTTTCTCTTTTCTGCTAAGACAGTTATAACTCATCTATCCATTTCTCATATTCCAATTTTTTTTGTCTTCTCTTTCCATTTCTACTTGAAAGTTTACACCCATAATTCTTAACCATCAGTTTATTAGGATTTGGATGAAACTAACAATAAATGAATACGCTAATCTGCTATGGTTAACCAGAAGTCAGACACTCCAATCTTAACACTATTTAATACCTGAAAACTTTGTTCAAATATTTTCTTTTCTTCTTATAATCAAAATTAAGCCATTACCTTGATGGTCACATTTCTCTCATAATAAATAGAAAGCTTCCTAGACTATCAACAAGAGAGAAAATAGCTCAAACTTTGTCATATTACTAAGGGAGAAAAAACAGGTGGTTCGTATGTAATTTCCAGCATTACTATCATTCAGATGGACAAATAAAAAAAATTACAGTAATCAAAAACAGACCTTTCAGCACATGTAATTAAATGAAAGCTTAATAAAGAATAATTTGCAAGAGCCAGATGTGCTTATGTCATGATTGTTGCTTTCTTTGGAACAATTTTTCTAATATAACAAGCCTCTAAAGAAATTAAAGTTTTATAATTCTGTATGCAATGACTCAGTGGCAAGAAAATTCACAAGCAGACTCAGTCAAATTGCCAGCACTTAGGCAAAGTGATGGGGGCATCTTTTGGTTTCTGTTTTACTCTGCTGTATCATTTTCCTTTGAAATTCAGCCAGATGTCTTCAAAATGGAGACAGGTCAAGCTTCTGAAAATGTCTGCTTGGATTAAGGCAGTGAAGAAAAGTTCTGTATTGAATGGAGTCAAGATGGTTAAGAGACAAAAACATGTTGGCAATATAGTACTGTAGCTGGTATCATAACCAATATATCCTACTATGAGTATTAAAGTCATGAAATCTTAGAGATGCTGAGTCATTAGATATAATTTATGCCATCATTTTTACCTCAGTAATTCAAAAGACCAAATGAATTTTACTCTATTTTGAGTCCTTTAGGAAATTTGAAATAGTGAAAAATGCAAAAAAAAAAAAAAAAAAAAAAAAACCACACCCACATTTCTGGAAACAAGTCTATGCTTTTCAAAAAAGGTGACTACGAATCCTTTAGATTGAATGAATAACACAGTTACTTTTCAGGAAAAGAGTAGTGTTAATTGCTTCTTCTAAATCTCTGATAATAATTTATTTTATAACTCTTTTAAGTGAGTTGTACCCAAGAAAGGCAAGACCACATAAACTCTGAGATTCCTTAAAGCAGGTTCTTGTGAGTTGTGATTACTGATGTATTAGAGAGAAGAAGAGGTACTGCCACATTCCATAACCCTTTTCAAAGCTGGGTAACTGGACAGTAGGATATCAGGTGAGATTTAGTAGAATAAGTCTTGAAATAAAAATCAGAAAATGGAGTCCAATGAAAAGACAGAAGGTATTCACAAAAATTAAAATATCCATATTCCATCTAACAAAACATGTGATTTTAGTTTAAATATCATTCTCTTCAGATTGAATATTTTAAATTTGTCTTGAATAATGTGAATGTCATTCATTGAATAGGTATAAACTTACAAAATAATTTCACAGCTCACCCTCTAAACTACCAT